GTCTCAAAAAGACCACAAAAAACAAACAAACAAAAAACAAACATGGTGACACAAGCTTATAATCCCAGTGCTGGGGAGGCAGAGGCAGGCAGATCCTTGGGGCTTGTTGCCCAGTCAGCCTGGCAAATTCCAGATCAGTGAGAGACTCTGTCTAAAAAAAAAAAAGGATAGACAGCACCTGAGGAGCACCAAGTGAGGTTTCCCTCTGGCCTCTATATGCACACAAAAACTCATGCATGTACATCTGAACACACACACATGCACCTACACCTGCATATATACAAACACACACACACACAAATTTCTAGACAATGCCAGCATTTAGATTATCTATTTATTTTTTGGTCTTTTTGAAACAGGGTCTCCCTGTAGCCTCAGCAGGCCTGGAGCTCACTATGTAGACCAGGCTGGCCTCGAACTCACAGAAATCCACCTGCCTCTGCCTCCCAGGTGCTGGGATTAAAGGTGTGGGCCACCATACCTGGCTTAGATTATTTTTAAAGTCTTACAGAGAGAGAGAGAGAGAGAGAGAGAGAGAGAGAGAGAGAGACCCTTTCTAGCTTCATGGTAGGGTTCTCTTAGGAAAAAGAAAAGGTGTTGAATAACAGCTAATTCATACGTTTATTGAACACCCAGCCTGTACTAGGCTTTGGGACACAGAGCAGGATATGATGTGACCCTTTCTTCTCCTGGGATGTCCCTCTAAGTCTGCCTTAGGGTTCTTGCATGGAGCCTGGACCCAGACAGCTGGGAAGACACTGAATGAATGGAGAGTTAGGGTGAGCCCGTGCTCTCACCTTTCCCGTGTGGCACTCTGCCTTACCAGTTGTTAGAACTGTCACAACAATGCCTGGCATACATGTAGCCCTCAATAAATGTCACCTCTTTATTGTCTGAAGCATAAGACAGGGGTAGAAGGAGCTGCCACAGACATTCCCGGTACAAACAAGGGCTAGCTGAGTGTCTATAGAAGAGATTGGACAAATCCCTCCCAGGAGTGCCTGTCAACAACAGGATGTGAGCACACACTGGTAGAACACAGAGTTAAAAGCGACTGACCACATCAGGTGGATGTCAGTGATCGTCTGGGCAGCATTGCTAGTGTTGTGTTGGCCACATATTCTGTACTGCTGTTTCCAGGGGATGCCTCCCAATACATATCAGTCCATCCATGGGGAAGGAAGGGAAGGTCAAAGGTGAGAGGGGGTATGGGTAGGGCTCTAAGACAGAGGTCCCAAGTTCTTTGGCAATGTTATGTTTTGAAAAGATGGCTTAAGAAGTTTGCTGAACCTGCAAAGCATTGCGAGCCAAGAAGGAGACAAAGAGCCCTGTAAGATGGCCAAGCTGAGCCGAATGTAGTGAGGCAAACGCGAATGAGGACAGACAGTGCAAATTCAGTGACCCGAGACCAGACAGAGTAGATCCGACTCAGCATTCAAGAGTGGACAATCGTTCCTAAGGGGCCTGTGAGGAAGGCAAACCCCAAGACGATGCTGGGAGGGTCTCGCCACACTCGCAGGTCCAGCCTCCTGCATTCGACAACTCTGTCCTGTTCTCTGCAACATTGTCCAAAAGTCCAGACCAGTGGACTGAAGACAACACAGGATGACCCCATCCCTTACTCCCAGGCCTTGGTCTCCAAATGCAAGATCCGAATGGAGGTGGGTAAACTTTTAGATGAATCCCTCACTCCCCAAACTTCTGCTACTCTCTGTCCCAAACGCAAACCCACTAAATTTAGATGACAAAGAACATCTGTCTATACCACATAATACGAACACTGATAAGAAAATTGGAATGAAGAAGAAATTATAGAGAAGGCAGATGGTCCTAAGTAGAGAAAGGAGAGGAGGGATGGTTCAACATCAGTGGAAACCTGGGTGCCTTTGAGGACTTCCGTTCTACGCAGTCGCTCCAGGGAAAGGTTGGAGACTAAGAGGCAGAGTCACAGTCTTCCTAAGCACCAGAATGCACAAAGGAAAAGAGCCAGAGAAGGAAGTGCTGCCCACATTCTTCTTCACACAGCAAACCCTGAGAAAGGCCAGCTGTGCTCCCATCTCCACTTTACCTTCCCACTCATTTGTCAGACAGGTGAATCTGGAGTTGGCCACGACACTCCACCCAAGCAGTCTTCTCTATGTCACTGATGACTTCCAAGTCACCAGAACCCATGTAATTTTTGGCCGTGTCTCATCTGGCTCCCAGAAGCATCAGCTCACACTGCTCACTGCTCCTTCCTAACTGAAATGTCCTCAATGGTGGCTCGCCAAGCCCAGCCTTCTTAAGGCTTCCACCCATCCATGTGACTTTTCCCCTCTATGGCTTTTGCAGACTCGACTCAACTCTTTTAGGTACAATGGGCCTCTCATTCATTACCAATTCCTGGCTGGTCTCATCCCCTAAAATGCCTCCACAGGCCATCTAGAAGCTGATGATTCTAAAATCTCTCTCCAGCCTGCACAGAAGGCTCTACTCTGAGATTCAGAACAGGAACTCCCTGTTTGCCCAACATTTCTCCTGTATCTTGCACACATCCAGATCCAACCCAGGATTTTCACTCTAACCTTGGCCTCCTTCTTTGTTGTGTTGGTATAACTGGTGACTCCACAACCCATGCCAGAAAATGCAAGACCACCCTTGCCCCATGTCATCACCAAGACAATTCCATCCAATGCCCTGACCCCTCTCTTCAATACCACAGTACCCGCCCCCATATCCAAGTATCCAAGTTACCCTCATTGCTTGTTTGGATGACCCTCTTTCCTGTACACAACCAGCAGCTTGTTCCCCTTCAATCTGTCCCCACATGCCCTCCTTAAAGTCCCTCTAGGTCAACATCAGTCCATCATGACCTGCTAGTCTTCTCCACCATGTAGGTCTATTCTCCTCATCCATGGGTCCACCTTCTGCATGACACACTTCCGCGTGGCCTCTGCACAGGCTGTTCTTTCTGTTGGAAGACTCTTCCCACACTTGACACTCACCATCATTTCAACAGTCACTTCCTCAGGGAAGGTTGCCCTGATCCAACCGGATCTAATGCACCCACCACACTGTCTCCCAGCATTTGGTACAAAGATAATTCAGCAGTTATGTGTTCGTTATGATCATCTTAATGGCTGTTCATAGTGGCTACTTGTGGCTGGCCCTATATCCCCAGTTCTTAGGGATGCCGGCACAAATGGAAGAAAGAAGCAGTGGGGACAAAAGGAAATAAAAATGATGTTTGCATCAGAGCTCTTCTGTTATGGTTTTTGCTAGTGAGTCCTGTGACTGATTGGATGAGGCCCACCTATAAGTGGATGCAATCTCCTTTGCTTAAAGTTCACATTTTGTAGACGTTAACCACAACTACAAAAATACCTTTCCAGCACCAGTTTCTGACCAAACACATGGACACCTTAGACTACTAAGGCTGGCACATAAAAATGTAAGCATCACAGATGACATCAACTCAAGGAGAAGCTAATCACGGGCCAAGACCATAACAAGCTTATTTTTACATGCTGGCGGGGAGTTCAGCAGAGATACTCTGTCAAGTCAGAGGGTAGAATGAAGAGGATTCATTCTTGGTTCTCAGGCACTGGTCCCTGAGGCCAGAGTGATTTGGAATTACAGTCTGGGGTGTCAGAGGTAGAGGTAGGCCCCCCATTGTGAGGTCCAAATGGAATACTCAACTCAGACTGACCCCAGCCCTGGCTGATCTCCCCTTCCTCATCTCCACTCCCTACCAGAGTCTGCTCACCGGATTTTGGCTTGGACCTAGACTTTACCCTCTTCTCTGTGACCCATGGAGAGGTTTGAGAGATGACCACAGAGTCAGTGGAGGTCATGAGGATGAGCATCCCTTGACTCCCGAGGTCAGGCCCATGGAACTCTCTACAGATTGCACTCAGAGAGGGGAGTGCCCGTGAGCAGATGAGGAAGAGTGCCGGGTTCTTGTTTGGAGGTTCTAGCAGAGGAATGCGACTACTTGTCTACCTTTGTCTGAAAAACACTCCCCCTCTATTGGGGAAGATTGAACTTGTCTACCAAGTGCACAGCTTCAGGAGAGACACATGGAACAGTGAGGTAGGAGTGAGACATCCACCTAACCAGCCAGATCAGCCAAATCAACCCTGGCAGTCAGTGGAGTGACAGATGTCACTGCCAGATCACCATCACATCCTGTTTTAGATTCCTGAAGAACCAATGTCAGAAAGATTCAAGGAGCTGTGGTGCAGAATCCAGGTGCAAAGGAAGTGCTACCAGGGATGTGGAGTTGGGGAATCCGTGTCACCGGAAGCGGAAACTGAGCTGTGGGAAGTACCTGAGCCAGGTATTTGGTTAAAGGACCCTTGGGACAGTGGTCAGGGAAGGAATAGAGCACTTACAGCTAGATGCCTGGGCATCCAAGACAGTTTTTTCATCAGGAGAAGGCTGATGTGAAATCCAGGTGTGGCCAAAATCACAAGGAAAGGCAGCCTACCTAGGAGGACAGGGTGATGACTTCTCAGTCAACAAATACTGATCTAGCATGTACCTATACCAAGCTGGGCCCCTTGTTGGATGCTGGGGATGCTAGAGAGGCCCAACCCAGACCCTCACTGTAAAACCAGTGGACATCATTAGGAGCTGCGTGAAGAGACCTGAGGTAAGTGATGTGACATAGGACTTACCAGCTGAGGAAGCCCAGGGACAGCAGTCAGCCTACAGAAGGGGAAAGGAGGCTTTGCAGAGGAGGCAGCTTGAAAGCAAAATCTGCCAGACCTTAGACAGGGTCAGGACATTCCAGACCAAGGCAAGGCCTGTGCACAGGCCTGGAAACACAGAAAGCTAAGCCTTTTAGAGCAGAGGGCATGGAGGAGGGCACAGCCTCTGACCTTACAATACCCAGGACCCACTGAGGCAGCCTTGCAGACCCTGGTGCCCTCTTCCAGCCTGGGCAAGGCCCAGGACTCCGGGCAGGCTCCAGGTACAGTGCCCTCTGTTGGGCCGCACCGTTTCCACTGCCCTGGGGCATGTCTCTACTCACCAGTTACGAGGGGCTTCGGCATCAGATAGAGAGGCTGGTGCGGGAAAATGAGGAACTGAAGAAGCTGGTGAGACTCATTCGGGAGAATCAAGAGCTCAAGTCTGCGATCAAGACTCAGGCAGGTGGCCTCAGCATCAGCGTGTTCACCAGTGGGCTTGGTGAGGCAACAGCAGGCCCTTCCCAACAGGGTAACTATAAGAGGCCTGGGTTCAAGGACAGTGGGGGAGGGAAGGATGTGACTGTGCAGAGGTGGGGAGACTCGATGTGTGTTCTGGGGTCTCAGGAAATTGTGGAGGGAGGACTTAGAGAATAACCAGCGGTGGAGGATGACGGCCTCAGCAGGTGAGTCAGGAAGAGAACACAGGACCATAAAGACCTAGGCCCCAGGTCCATTCTACTGATAGGAGCCTCTGCCCATTCCTCCCCCATCTAACACATCACAGACTGAGAACTTCCCAGCTCTGGAATCCAAATATTCTGCCCTACTGCGTTCAATGTCACTCACCCTCAGTCTCCCCAACCCTGAACCACTCCCTCGCCTTCAGCCCCTCCCAGTCCTTCCCATTGGCACTCTATCTTTCTCTCCATCACTCTCCAGTTAGAGAGAGCCAAATGGCAATGCGCATCTAGAAGCTGAAGGGAGAAACCAGGACTGAAAGGTGAGGTTGGGAGGTTTCTAAAGGGATGGAGGCCCTGGGGCTAGAGATGTCCTGAGCAAGACAGATGGAGGAGCAACGAAACTGCACGTACTCACAGAAAAGCCACGGAGTTGATGACCCATGATGGGCCTGAGTGTAGGAACGGGGGTTGGAGGGAGGTGGCATTCAGATACCAGGAGATGACAGACACCACAAAGTTGAGTGCAGTCACAGGAAGGGCTGAAAGAATAGAAAGTTGTGGACAGAGTGCTCAGCGTTGAAGACACCAGGGGGAGAATTTACGCGGGTGAGCAACAAACACCCAGGGGTGCGGCTGTGGAGGTCTGTGGCTGACACGGGTTACAAAGGGTGTACTCAAATAAGTTATTATATCCACTCCCCTCCCTACACAGTCCTTCCTGTCCTAGAGAAGGCTAGGCCCCTTCCTGTCCGTGATTTTCCATGTGTGCTCACAGCCCATGCCCTAAGTGATCTGGCCTCTGTCGCAGATCTACGCCTCCCCCTCACTGCTTGTCGCGTGCTCACCTTCAGGCATGAACTCTTTCTTGTCTAAGAGGACTTTACTCTCTGGCATCTGCCTGTTTAGGCCTCTACAGCTTGGCAACAGATCCCTACACTACTGCCCTAGAGAGGTTATGAGTAACTTCGTAAGTGCCACGCATTCTTCTCCACCTCTGCATGGCATTTAGGAAAAATAACCCTCTGCCGAGCCCCTCTTCCTGAGTTCCCAAGGCAGGTTGGGTATCTACATTCTGACTCATCTTAATCACTGCTACAGGCTTCAGGCCCTACCTACCTCCACCCTCAGCCAGTTCACTTACTGCATTACTCCGACACTGGCGTAGGAGTAAAGAGTCCCTCAGAGGATCCTGCAGGACTAATGAATCCCTAGAAATTGTCTCACAAGGGGCTGGGGATGTAGCTCAGTTGGTGCTTGCCTGGCATGCACGAACCCCTAGCTTTGATCCCCAACATACGAAACTGGATATGACTGCATAAGCTAGTAGTGGAGGTAGAAGGATCAGAAGTTAAAACTCATCCTTGGCTACTTGGTGAGTTCAAGGCCAGCCAGGGCTACATGAGACATTACCTCAAAAAGAAAAGAAAAAGGAAACTGGTTCGTTCTAAACTGGACTCTTTTCTGGTTGAGAATTTGGGCCTTTATAATAAGATGTAAAGCCCCTTGGGTCTGTGCTCACTCCTCTGATTTCACCCCCTCTTCCTTACCCTTGGGGTCCCTTACCATCCAGCCCAGCTTTGGTGGGAAATCTTTACTCTCCAGTAGTGATCATAAGCACACATGAGTGTGTTTTAAATGTTAAATCATTAGTGAGACCACAGGTCTGGTGATGCATGGAGAAGGTACAAAGTTTAAACAATTTCACAGTTTAAGATGTTAGATTCTGGAACTAGAGAGATGGTTCAGCAGTTAAGAAGGTTCAGTTGCCAGCACCTGGCGGCTACCAATCATCTATAACTCCAGTTCCAGGGGACATGACGCTTTCTTCTGGCCTCTGCAGGCTTGCACACACATGGTGCAATTACATACATGCAGGCAAAACACTCATACACATAAAATTCAAATAAACAAATAATTTCTTTTTTAAAAAAGAAGCTAGATTCTGGCATCCTATTCCCAAGAAAGCAAGCCTTAGATTTCATCTTTTTTAAATTAATCTTTTAGCTATCTATTTTTGTGTATATCTGTGTATGTGTTTGTATGTATGGGCATGCTTGTGCCACAGAACATGTGTGGAGGTCAGAGACAACCTTGAGAGTTGGTCCCCACCTTCCACCGTTTGAGGGAGAGACTTTCTCGTTTCTGCCACTGCATCATGTACTCCAGACTATTTGGCACTTGAATTTCTGGAGAATTCTCTAGTCTGCCTCTAATCTTACTGTAGGAATGCTAGGTTTATAGATTGATGCCACCATCTAGCTACCCACTGAACCATCTCTCCAGCCCTTGAACCATCTCCCTGGTTTTGAGGCAGAGTCACACCAGCTCAGGCGGATCTTGAACTCAGTATGCAGTCCAGGCTGACCTCAAACTGGTTATCTCTCTACCTCAGCCTCCAGATCTCTGGGATTACAGATGTCTCCAAAGATATCTGACTCTTAGATTTAAATCTTAGGGAAATCTTTGGCCTATTTCAGATCTTCCAACTTTATAATGGTCAAGGTTAGGGGATCAGGAAAGACTTTCTGAAGGGGAGATCACACAGCTGATGGGGAAGGCAGAAAAGAATATTCCAGGAGAAAGAGCAGTGTAAACAAAGAACTGGTCCTAGAGGTTACATGAATGAGAATAAGCTGAGTGTGGTCAAAGCTCAGACTGTGTGAGCATATGTGATGGGTGGGTGTGGAGTATGTGGTGCCGATGTGTGTGACTGAGATACATGTTATGTATATGAGTGTGTATGTGCGTGTGACTAAGTGTGGAGAATATGCAGGAGTATGTGGGAAAATGTATGGTATGCTTTGAGAGTGTGTTATGTGTGGGTGAATGTTCCCATATGGCTGTGAGTGTATGTGAGTTGCTGTGTTATGTGAGAATGCATGGGTGTGGTATGTATTAAATGCACATACTATGGGAGTTTGTGTTTATGCCGTATCTCTGATGGTGTGAGTGTATTGTTTATATATATATTATATATATATATATATAGTATTTTTTATTTGTGAATGTGTGTTAGGGGCCAGTGAGACGTAAACAGACAGGTCAGTAGGGGGTCAGATCCAAGGGATTGTGAATACTAAATGGCATACTAAGGAACTTGGGCCTGCTCCTAAAGGCAATAATCAGAAGCTTGATTTCTAGCAGGAATCGATTGTGTTTGTGCTCAGACACATCATTCCACCTGCGGGATGTGGGGGTAGGTGTGGGGCACAACTTTGGCAGGAAGATGAATTAAAACGAAGCTGTTGTAGTCATTCATAGGAGATGATAGTGTGAGCCACAAATGAACAGAAATCCACTCAAATTATTTAGTAAGAAAAATAAATCCTACCTGCTTGGATGTGACCAGTGGTAAATACAGCATCCGGAATATGTTTGCTTTCCTGACTGAAAGTGACTGGTGGTGCCACTTCCTGAGAAAGCACAATTTGCCATGACCAGGCCAAGGTGGATCCTTTAGGGTTTCCTCAAAGACTGCCATTCCCACTAGCCCCTCACCCTGCTTGTCCTCACAGCCCCCTCCCCCATCCCTCCCTCCCTCCTCCCTCCCCCCCTCCCTCCTTCCTTCCTTCCTTTCTTGTCATCTTTGGCTTTTGGAACAGTTTCAAGTAGCCCAGGTTAGCTTTGAACTCCTGATCCTCCTGCCTCTATGTTGTAAGTGCTCAGAATGCAAGCAAGCATCACCAAACCTGGCTCTCACAGCTGGTTCTGTGAGTGGCCTTCATGAACTCCTCGGGCTTTGATTTCTCTTTCTAGCCCCACCCTGCTCCCTTATGCTCTGGTCCAGGGCTCTGACACAGTCACATTCACAGGGAACACAGAAGGAAATGCAGCTGGGAAGACAGGAGCAGAGCTTAAACACATGGACCGTGGGTTCTCAAAAGCCTGTACCCCAGGCCCCTGGCCAGTGCAAGACCAAGACCAGATGGTGACGGAAGGGGTGTAGAATGAGAATCGGGTCCAAGGAATCATGAATTCTACCCAAGCCACCACATCCCAGACCAGCACTCCAGTATAAGAATTCTAAATTCAAATCTGATATTCTAGGTCATTACAAAGGTTTATGTGTCACAGTTAGAAAACAGAACATCAGCGGGGTACAGTGGTGCACACCTTTAATCCCAGCACTAGGGAGGCAGAGGCAGGCAGATCTCTGCAAGTTCAAGGCCAGCCTGGTCTACATAGTGAGTTCCGGGACAGCTGGGGCTACAGGAAGACCCTGTCTCAAAAAGACCAAAAGAAAAAAACAAAACAAACAAAAAAAAAACAAAAACAGAACATCATTTTACAGTTGGCTTGTGTGATAACTTTCCATTGCTCTGGCATATGGTGGGTGGGCTTCCATTTGTGTTCCTGCCCACAGTCCTGCAAATGGTAGAGGTGAACCTGGTTAAAAGGAAATGCAGTTTTGTAGGAAGGCAATGAGTTGAATGTTGGACAAACAGATTACTAAGAGATTCACCCAAAATGTACAGGAGAGAGTATGGCCAAGCACCGAGTAAGGACATAGAGAAGTTGGCGAAGGGGCGTCCTGAGATACAAAGAAAACGTCAAAAGAATAATGCCTCAGGGGTGGAGAGAGGGCTCAGTGGTTCAGAGCACTGGCTTGCTCTTGCAGAGGACCAGGGTTCAATTCCCAGCACCCTCATGACAACTAACAACCATCTATAACTCCAGTTTCAGGGGCTCTGACACCTTCTTTTGGTCTCTGTGGGCATTGCACATATCCAGTTATATAAGGCATAACCTGAGAAAAGAGACAAAGTTGGAATGTAGAAACTTGATTTGTAAAAACTATATCAGACACTCTTTTCACAGGTGGCAGATACCTTTAATCCCAACACTCAGG